ATATGTGTAAAAATATTAATACGAGTTTTTTATTTTAAAATTTTAATTATTCTTCCAAAATAATACTATTATTTTAACTTAAAATAATACACCTCACCAGTCAGATTCGACGATATTATATTATAACGTTTTTGTACTTATATCATATGATAAGCTTGATAGATAAATTTGTTGTTTTTCAATTATAATTGATAAACATTGAAATTTTATTGATAGAGCTAACATAGATATAATTATTTTAATTTATATATACAATACAAATGTCAAATTATATATTGTCATAATATCACTAATTTAAGTTATCATATATAAAAAATAATGATGCATACAAATATTATTAACTTTTAAAATATATTTACAATTTAAATTACCCGAGACTGCATAATTATACTCGAGAAACGTAACTGTGTAGGAACCATAAATGAAAAGCTATCATATTTGCCCTACCATCAACAATTATTTGGATTTATAATCATTTCAAAATCTTTTTGGCTCAGAAAATGTACACTGTTCAATTATTTCTTTTATTCTTGGATTTATTTGATTGTAACTCGTATGTGTAGTATATTTGTGGTTTGTGAATATAAAAAAGACGGTTTAAGGAGAATGAAGAAAACGAAACAAAATCAAAGTCGAGGCACGTAATAATTATGTTCTCCTTAAGACGAAATTGTCCCGTAAAATACTCTAGGTTAACGGCAAGCGCCTCCAAGATACAACGACTTTCGACTTGTATATAGCGGTACTTCAAATATACAAACCTTCGGCGAACACTACTATTGTTTGGAACTCTCAAGACTCAACAAAAAAATCAAAGAATACAATATGATTTATGAACTTTGAAAATATAATGCAAGAGCTCTTCACTTTTCAAGTTCTGAATGATTTCAAGTATGTGGGTATTTATAGATGTAGGGAAACACCTCCAAGAGGTTTAAGTGTCAAAAGACACCTTTTGGGACGTGTCTGAACGAGAACGGATGCATCTAGTGGCCAAAAGATACCTTATGGTCACCAAGGGTTGTGACCTTTTGATTTCCACAGCTAGTTGCGCGTCCGTGCGCCGCGGGCTCGTACGAGCTCATACGGACTCGAAATCGAGTTCCGTTTTTTCCTACTTGTCCCCAACGAGCCCTTCTACAATTCTAGCATACATTATGTATAATTATGGCTCGTTTAGTATATCCAAACATTTGCCAAAACAGAATATTTGTGGACCCTACACTCTTTCAGTTATTTAAACTCAATGAATTAACATATAACTTAGAATTAATTTCTCATTCACCTTAAAAAAGTTTTGAGAATTTCCTAAGTCTTCTACTTACGAAGAGTAGAATCGTTAAATCGGTACAAAACCAATTTTTTCTTCCAGTATGTGCAATAATAAACATTTGATTACACAACTGGTTAATTTCACATTGCATGCGGTAATCCATTTAACATACATATATATGGCATATATATTATATTAATTATTTTTATAGAATAAGCATGTGTTTTGTAAAAGAAAATATGACAACAGTCTGGCTAATGGCAGCAATATTCGTGTTAAGCATTACAAATATTAAAGAGCTTTTGTAGAGTAACTACAATAAATATCCTCTAGGGAATTGAAATGTAATGTCTTAAATTTATTCTTTAATTTGAAAAATGACTAAGTGAAAATTTTTTATAATTGCAGAAAAAATGTACGAAAACGTAAACATGACATGGATTCATTTGACAAATCTGTCAAACCTAGTAAACAGATATTAATTAATTACTCCACTAACTATTATTCATCCAACACAGTTCAATTGATCAATAAATTGATTGCAATGGATTTATATATCCAATTGAATAGCATGAAGTTCCAAAAAGTCTAATATTTTTCATAAATTATGATGTGTATTTATTATCATTACCAAGCAACTAAAGTTAGAAGATGAAAATAGCTATTTTTATATAAGGACCATTTCTACATATGGTCAACATATATTATATATTTGAAATATGTACCAGAAAGCTGCAATTTCATTTCCTCTTTCAAACATGAAATTTATGTATAGTAATCTTATAATATTTGGTTTGAGTTTTTCCCTTTTCTTCTCCTTCTTTTCCCATTTGTTTCCAAGTTTTTCAAGACACGTATTGTAGACTTTAGACCCGATAATTTAATGTTAAAAGGGCCATACCACTGATGTTTTAGATTGCGGTCATCAATAACTATTCCAAATTTTGCTGTCCAAATAGAAAGGGCCCCTACCCAAGTAAAACGAAACACACACATTTTTTAATAATTGAAGATCCTAATAATAATTATTTTTACACAATCCCAACATTAAATTGAGTGCATTGTCCTTTAAAATACAAATGTTATAAATAATTTTTTTTTTTTTCGAAACGATAGAAATATTATAAATCGAAAAGCACAAAAGTGCAAATATACAGCAGCCAACGACTGAATACACAGCAGCCAACAGCTGAAAAAAAAAACAACGAAAAAGGGAGGACAGGTCTTCAGAAGCCCGCCTAGAATACCGGCTAGCAATCGCTAGAAAAAAACTAACAAATAACACAAACAACTAACACAACTACAAGACTCCAACAGAGTAATACCCATGTGTCGGACCCCAACAGGGTAATACCCGAATGTCCAACCCCAACAGGGTAAGTATAGTTCAATCTTCGTGCCTGGATTTATCTTTCGAACTCATAGTCCAAAAGTACGCACACTTATTAAGTTAGAAATATGCCTAACTTATTAAACATGTATATACTTACGTTTTTAATTTATAGCAATTTGATAGTCACAAAATAAAATCACAATTAATTGATCACTCCTTTACCATAATTATAAGTTAATATCTGAAGTATATGATGAAAGTTATATCACATCTTAAATCATTTGATTAATTGATAGTTGCAACCACCATATCTGTGGATCCTTTATTAGTGAATAGAATCTATCCACAACATCAAACTCTAGCTAGTTGCTATAATTAAATCAAAATAATTACTATTTCACTTAATCATGGTATAAACCGTGCAACAATTATTATATATAGNAAAAAAAAAAAAAAAAAGGTGAGGGCCCTTTCCCCAATTCCCCATGGATCTATATGCTTGTGAATTGGAAGTCCCTATCTTTAGGAAGCATCACTAGAAAAAGTTGCATTATAAACACACGCAATTATACCCTTAATTACATTATTAACCTTTAATTAAATTGACGCGTAGTCTCATTTTTGCCGACAGGTTTCTTATAAAATAAGATTACCGTATTTAATTTGCGTCCCCATTCATGTTAATCTGATGAACTAAACGTGTAATATATGGGGATAATTTCAAAAGCATGAGTATATTAAACGAAGTTTTATATTTAGAATCCAACTAATCGATAGTAGTTATGTAAATTTTAAAAGTAATTAATTTAAAATAATTTGGGCATAAAAATTAATGAATAAAAATAATTTGTCTACAATCCCGTCACGGAATGATTCCGTGAGAGATTTTAGTCATCAGATAAAATAACTGTAGACAATAACTGTATATCTGATGGCTAAAATCTCTCACAGAATCATTCCGTGACGGAATTGTAGACAAATCCAACATTTGAATCCAATTAACTGATGAACTATAATTTTGAAATGCACCAATTAAAGAATAATTAATGTGACACAAATGAGAAGGCAAGAAGGAAAATAAAAGTTGACTTTAAATAATTAATTAATAATAAAATGGAAAGTTTTGGAGATAAAAAAGAAATTATACATTAATGAAGAGAAATGACAAAAACTAAATACTAATTAAACCTAACAACTGAAAAGTAAAGTTGAGAAGAGAAGAAAACAAATTCTGATGCACACTAATTAAAGACCCAAACTCTTTCTCCGAAACCCGAACCGTTTTCACACTTGAACCGGTTAACGGTCAACCATAACCGTATGAATACGTAGACAAAACATTAGGCGGACCACTCACTTTTTGGAGTCGATGGAATTGAATGCGGCCAACAAGCAACAGTCCCTAATCTATTTTGTTTAAACTATCGTACCAACTGCTGCCCACTGGAAATCCCCGGTCAATTCATTTACCCATTGGAAATTGTTAATTTTTATGAAGATTTTGGTAATTCTCTCAATAGAGATGGCATTAATGTAATTTGTTTGTTTTCTAGAAATATGTTCGTTCCATATGTGTAGCATGTATAAATAGAACTTTTATCATTTGTATTCTTTAGAAAACTAAATNTTAAGTGTCTTTTTTTATGCTCAGACCTGATTAATTGTATAATTATAAAACAAATCGAAAACATTTATTTAAACTACATTCATTTATTCAAATTATAATTTGAGCACTAACTTTGTAACTTCGGTAATTTAAGATACAAATTTATAATTTTTGGAAACTGAGGCATGAAACCAGGCTTCAGTGTCCTTGAATGATTTCTCTAATAATATTTCTTAATGTGGCGTGTACTATAAATAAAAAAATATATATATCAACACATTTATACATTAGATAATTAATAAACAAAAATTTGGCACAAACTATGCATAGTCGGAGAACTTCATACAATAATGCCATTCAAATAAAGTGCAAATATTTGAATAAAATTCTTGGTCAGACCAAATCAATATTGACTTAGACCATCTCCCATTTCTTCAATGTACATCAAAATACACTGTACAGTTTAAGGAAATAGTAAATTAATAAATTTAAGTAAATTAATCGACACAAACTATGTATAATCGAATAAGCTCGTAGATACGTATGGAAATTGAACTGTCTTTATACGGCCCGATTATATATATATATTTTTCCATATTATATCCCCAACAATACAAGTCCACTTTGACTTCATCTATAAAGAATCAAAATTGACTAATCAATTAAGTGGGGACTGCATATTAATATAATCACACTGTGAATAGACTATAATTTTTTTTATCGTATAATAAATTAGTTTCTTCATTTTTCGAGTATCCAATTATATTGAAGAAATTAAAATATATATTTCACATCTTCTCGAATCCTGTACACAAAAAAAAATAATAATAATAGAAATGAATATCACACAAGAAGAAAAAAAGAATGTATACTGTTCAACTCTATAATAATATATAATTGACAATATAAAAAATACACAGAAAACAAACCTTCCAAAGACCATACACAAATCTCTCTCTCTCTCTCTCTCTCTCTCTCTCTCATATGCTTGTGATAAAAAAAGATCCATGGAGGAGAAGAGAAAACCGGAGAAGATGATGATGGATGACACGTCATCATTTTCAATGTTTTCGGGCATGCCAAACAGCGGCTTGTTGGACCGGGATTTGGCCGGTTTTGAGGATCACCGGGAAATGAGCTCCTTAGGGTTTTTGGAGATGTCCGGTTTTGAGGATCTAATGCTTGGTGATATGGATAGGGACAATTTGATGGTGGCGCTAGAGTCACAGCAGTTGCCGTTGGAATATTCGGAGGTGGTCCACACGCCCAATAATTCTTGCTCGTTATCATCGTCCTCGGCTGAGCTGGCGGCTGGGAATGGCGGACATCGGAAAAGGGTCGGTGCGGAGGAAGAAGATGATGAGGAGGAAGAAGAAGAANTTTGAGGGTTGGACATGATTATGATGATTACTATGGATGAAAATCTTTTTGAAAGATAATAAAAAGGAATATTTGGTGGTTAAATACATGCGGTCTCTGTGATGTGTGATCTAATTAATTACAACTTTGAAATAAATCCAGTGAGATTTGATGATTCCCCATAATTCTATTTCGTTTTTTAGGAGAAAAATCCTTTCTTGTGCATAACAAAATATTATATCTTTTATTTTCCCTTTACATATTATGAGATTTTCTTCTTTGTTTTTGTATATTATTATTAGGGTATTGAAGCCGAAAAATAAGAAGCAAAAGAGGGAAAAAGAGCCAAGATTCGCTTTCATGACAAAGAGTGATGTCGATCACTTGGACGACGGCTATCGATGGCGAAAGTACGGCCAAAAGGCCGTCAAAAACAGCCCCTTTCCTAGGTAATACCTTCAACATTTCCACACAAACACACATTTACAAAGATAAAATAAAAAAAATAAAATCAAATAATTAAAAAAACTAAAATATATATATATGGTATTTAAATAATCCAATTGTGTTGCTTAATTTATTTTTTCTAGTAAAACAAAAAAGTTCTTGTTCAACATTATTGTACTAATTAGTTAGTTATCCTTCTATTTTGTAGGAGCTACTATCGGTGTACTAGCACACAATGTGGAGTGAAAAAGAGGGTGGAAAGATCCTGTGAGGACCCGTCCATCGTAGTCACCACCTACGAGGGCACACACACACACACCTATCCCATCACGCCACGTGGCACCTTCCCGGGATTCTCCACCTGTGACTCGTCCCGTCTTATGCCGCCTCAAGTGCTTCATTATCGCCTCAAAACACAACAACCCTATTTTCCAAGCTTCAACATTAGTAATAATAATAAACCGTTTTCTCCTCCTCCTCCTCCTCCTCAGTTGGTTGGAGAAAGACGGATTTGCCCCTCGAATTCGCCTTCTCAGATGAGAGACAAAGGCCTTCTTCAGGACATGCTGCCGTCCGAGATGTTGAAGGAGCCCAAGGAAGAGTAAGGATGAAAACGGGCCAGTTTGTGTGTTCGTATTATATATCGATCGACGAATAAATTGGCTAGTTTGTTTT